CCTGCCTGCGCTGCGGGACCAGTAAAATTCCGAGTCCAGCGCATTCAGAGCCAGGACTTGGAAATTCAAACTCAGATGGCCTCACTGTCCTGTGTCTTTCAGAAAAATGGTCAGGGAGACAATAATTAAGTGGAAACATAGGGAATGAAATAAGTGTCTATATAAACTTTACAACTTACATCAAAATTCATTCATAATCGTCCCCAGACTTAAATTACAATGCAAAACTATGATGATTCTACAAGAAAACATAGAAGAAAACTATGTGGCCTTGGGTTTGGTGATGAGTTTTAACACAGGACAGCAAATCTGATCCACAACAGAAAAAATAATAACATGGCTGTTATAACATTCAATATTTATACTCTGTGAAAGACCAAGTTCAGAGAATAAAAAGAAAAGCTACAGAATAAGAAATGTTTGCAAAATACATATCGGAGGAACAATTCACATTCTACATATAAAAAGAACTCTTAAAACTCAACAATAAGACAACAAAAACCCCAATTAAAAAGGGGTAAAGATCTGAACAGATACCTCACCAAAGAAGATACATAGATGGCAAATAATCATACAAAAAGACGCTTAACATCATATATGGTTAGGGAATAGCAGATTACAACAACAATGAGATACCACCGCACACCTGCTAGAATTACTAAACTAAAAAAAAGGACAAACCATTGCTGGAGGAAAGACAGGAACTCTCATTCATGGCTGGTAGAGTGCATAACGGTACAGTCACTTTGGAAGACAGTGTACAAGACTAGACTATGCCACCCCAAGATATACCTCTTTTTTGTTGTTATTGTTTCGGACAGGGTCTCTGTCAGTCACCCAGGCTGGAGTGCAGTGACATGATCACAGCTCACTGCCACCTTGAACTTCCAGGCTGGAGCGATCCTCAGCCTCCCAAGTACCTGGGACTACAGGCATGAGCCACCACCGCCAAATAATTTGTGTGTGAGTGTACAGATGGGTCCTTGCTATATTGCCCAGGCTAGTCTTGAACTCTTGGGCTCCAGTGAGCCTCCTGCCTTGGCCTCCCAAAGTGTTGGGATTACAGGCAAGAGCCACCATGTCCAGCTCAGCATAAGGATTATTTTGAGACATTACAGACACAGGAGAAGCTCTGAAAACAGGCTAGAAGTTACCTTCTTGTAAAGGAAATTAACATCTATAAAGGAAACCTACCTCCGTTTGTAAAGGTGTCTCCCTCTCATACCAAGAATAAAAGGATGACTAAATCATGAGAGATGCTTATCAATGAAGATGGCACCACTTAAATCTGAACAACAAACCTTGCTCTTATTTACCTGCTTTTCCTGGTTACCTCCCCACTACTGACCACCCCTCCCCGACAACACCCATTCTTTGTTTGGGTTGAAGATAGTACAGTAAGCCTGAACTCAAAGCCACCTCTTGGAGATTTACTCATTTTTCCGGGGTATTTCCCACACATACATAAAGAAAAAATTATTGTTATACTTGTTAAAGCCTAGTAATGTCCTCTTTCCGCTATCTTGGAGCCTGGGGAGGTCTGCTGGGAACAGGATTTCCAAAAGGCAAATATGTCTGGAAGGCTGTGGTCGAAGGCCATGTTTGCTGGCTATAAGTGGGGTCTCCAGAACCAAAGAGAGCACACAGCACTTCTTAAAATTGAATGTGTGTATGCCCGAGACAAAACTGAATTCTATTTGGGCAAGAGATGTGCTTACGTATACAAAGCAAAGAACACAGTGACTCCTGGTGGCAAACCAAACAAAACCAGAGTAATCTGGGGAAAGGTAACTCGGGCCCACAGAAACAGTGGCATAGTTCGTGCCAGATTCTGAAGCAACCTTCCTGCTAAGGCCATTGGACACAGAATCCGTGTGATGCTGTACCCCTCAAGGATTTAAACTAATGAAAAGTAAATAAATAAAAGTGGATTTGTACTCTTGTAAAAAAAAAAAAAAAAAAAAGCCCAGTAATGTAAATTGAAGTAAAACCCTGCCCCATGCCAACTGAATGGACCCTCTCTTAGCCAAGCAAACCTCAGAAAACCCTTAAAACTGAGTTCCAGAAGTTTAGATACAACTGACCAGCATTAATGTT